TAATAATAAAAAATAATTTAGAACCAAAAACATGGTTTTAAGGATGAAGATGGCCTGAGCAAAAAGAGCAACAAAAGTAACATGGACCATGCCAATAGACAAAACGCGTTAAAAAAATAAATAAATAAAACAAAAACAGAAAGAAAAATTATTATTCACATTCCTTTTCCTTTTCCTTTTCATAAAACAAAAACAAATTCAATTATTGCATTCACAAATTGCAATTCCTTATTCCTCACGATTACATTCGTAAAAGATAAAAGAATCATTCACATTCAATGCTCTGTTTTTTTTTCTTTTTCATCATCATCACTAAACTAAAAAAACGAAAATTAAGCAAACTACAACAATCTCAAAAGAGACGTCAAACCAAACCAAACCAATCAAGCCAATCCCAATTACATGTCAAACCAAACCAAACCCAAACCAACAAATCGAATTTGGACTTTTCAGAAACATCTCAGATGATGGTTGTTGTTGTGGTGATGCTGGTGGTTATGGTTGTTGTGTCCGTTTCCGTGACTGTGACGGCGATGAATCTCCTCGTCGATAATCTCCTGAACATGCTTAAACTCATCGACACGGCAAGGAATCGTGATCGGACCAGAGTGTTTGAACCCGTACTCTTCTTCAGCTTCCTTCAACAGACTCAAAAACAGAGGATGGCTCAAGAACATCAACGGAACAACAAATCTGTGTAGACCTTCTTCATCTCCCTCGTGCCCCACCATGATCGCGACACAGCCTTTAGGAACATGGTGATGATGGAGTATGTGGAGATGCGGGACATGAAAGTGAAACTTGAACACCATATTCTTCTTGATCGGGCTCTGTTTCTGATGTTCTTCAAAACCCATGAAAAAATATCGAATCTTTCTTGCCGAAAAACCTATCGAGAAAACACACGACGACTGATTCAAAACACGATCGGAGACGGAGAAAAAGTAGTAGTAAGCTTTTCGGCGAGGTTTGATGTTAGGAAACGGCGATAGAAAAGGGCCAAGGATCGACAGCAGAAGATATAATGAGAAGAAATATAGAAAGAGATGAGTCGGTGAGAGATCTGGGGATGTTGCTCATGATAGGCTAAGCATATATGTATATATGAAGAAAAAAAGGTTTTTACGTTTTTCTTTTAGGAGGAGGAGGTTGTGATGACTTGTGAGGATTCTCGGAAAGGGAGATAGATATATATACAGGTTGGATTTGGAGTAGGGTTTTGCTTCACGCGCACACCGCTAAGGCTTTTTCTTCTATTTGTTTTTGTTTTTTGTATTTTTACTTAACAATTGATTTGATGAGCTGGAATTTTGACGTGGTAAAAAGATTGCAGCGTGATTAGGAGGAGGAGTTTAGGGTTTACCGACTAATGAAGGAGGCTGGTTAATTATTTTAATGGTCAAATTCGTTTTTATCTTTAAATATAGTTAAGAAGATATATCTTGGAGAAAAACATAATATTTCTGCTGTTTCGTAGATCATATATGCGTTTTTAACGTGTGTTTAGAAGCACCTAGAAATAGATAAAAATTGTAGTATATAAATCCAGTGAGTACGTAATAATGAAAGAAAAAAACTAAATGGTGTTTAGGATAAGTACTGCGATTTGTATGAAATATTACATTTATACACATTTAAGCTAATATATTTGTTTCTCAAACAATTAACATATTTAACTCTCTTCTTTTGATTGGCCAAAAGAAAACCCTTTTTCGGCAACAACGTGATTCACCTATATATAAGCATATATATCTAAATTCAATATATGAAGTTGTTTATTTAAATAAAAGTGTTATAACTCAAATGCATGTTGTTGACAACAAAAAATGTTATAACTTCAAAATAAAACTCAAAAGGTAATTAAGAGATAAATTTATCTCACACAAGTTTATGTCAAAGGTTTTCCTTAAGATCAATGTCCAAACTCATCCTCCTTGATTTTTTAAATCGTTGTAGCGATAACATCTAGGGTGGGGTGGGCGGATACGATACATTATTACCTTCTAAGCTAAGATAAAAACGTAATACTAATCAAAATTGGTTGCTGCTTTACATGGATGATGGATCAGCTGGCCACCAAGGCCCCTTCGACGCTTCAAAAGCTAGCGACTCGGTAAATTAAACGTATAAAATAATATATACAGTTTGCTTAAAAAAACATTTGTGCGAAATTGCTCGAACTTTATAGTTTAAAGAATGGGAACAGAGATTAGAAGTAACGTGTACTGTTGAATTCGAGATAGCACTCGTCAAAGACGGGCTATTTAAGATGTGAGTTTAGGAAACTGGAACGCTTAATTCGACTCTTAAATTATCAAGAAAGTTACAAGAGAGCAATCTCGCTAACAGACCTAGCGAGATTATGATGATGAACAAGAGGATAGAGTAAAAGCTAATGTGAGAGCCTAGTGATTCTAGATGATTTTGGATCCTTCTCCCCAATGGGGGTCTTCAATATATAGCGTTGATAAGTCGGCCGAATGATGAATATTCTCCTTCAGGTGAGATGGAAAACTTCCTCTTTTGCGATATGGAAAATTCCCTCTTGTTTTTGGATCTTTCTCTATTCTTTAAGTCGGCATGAAGATTTATTTACATTTCTCCATGGATTGTGCCTTTCTCCTGAAGTCTTACCTTTTTCCTGAAAATATTAGGCCTAAAATCGGATTGGCCTTTGTAACTTTACTAATGATGACAGGCTCAGGGAAATGTGCTAATTTTTCCTCTAATATGTAAAAAGAAGAAGGTGATAATGCCAATTCACAAGGTAAATGGATAAACAGGATTAAAAAAAGGTCAAACCATACAACCTAATCTGCGAATCGATCTATTTCGTTTTAGATAACTACGATCTATCTAAATTCGCTTACGTCTTCGAAGAGGTGCATGGGAAATTACATCATCCGTCATCATATAATTTTTTATATATTAATACGTAATCATTTTGGTATATTTTTGTATAATATACTAGATTAAGGCCCGCGTATACGCGGGTATATTTTAAGATTTTATAATAAAAGCATGGAAAATATTAAACAAAATTTGATCATTTTTAAACGTAAACAAAATAATATTGAAAACCCGATAAAAAATATTTAAATAAAATAAAATTGGTAATACTTTTACATTTTTATTATAATTGATTTTTCTTTTGAATTTATGATATGACAAAATGAATTAATTTGTTTTACTATTATTTTTATCCAATACATAAACACTTACACATGTCTAAATCTGATCAACTGATTAATTAATCAAACTTTTATTATTCCATTCAAGAGATTTTAATTGATGAAATCTTTATTTCAATTTTTTTTACCTAACAAAAATTGAAAATCAAACTATTTAAAATTAGAATATCGATTATAATTTTTTAATATTAGTTAATTGCTTGAATATTATTTTGTTAGTTTTCTATTTATATTTTTTCTTTCTCAATTTTTTTTTGCCTCATACCATTATAAATAATATATATTGATATTTTTCCTTTTCGAAATGCATTTTTTTCCTTTTCTTAATAGATGTAACAAAAGAATTTAAATTATTTGTTTTCTGTTTTTTATTACTTTTAATGGATTTATTATTTTTTCATTTTAATTATTTTTATCTGATTTTCTAATTTTTATTTAGTCTTATACATATTAATTTTTTTTTTTTTATTCATGACACATGTTACGATCTTCATACTTTCATTTTTTTTTCTAAAACAAATGTCACAATTTTGTGAGTTATAAAAATCATATGTATCGCAAAACTGTCAAAAACATGATTTTTAATTGGAGAAATAGAATCAAAGGGATCTGATGAATTTGCTTTGATGAATTTATGATTGAGAAACTTTGACTCTCTTTTATAGGGATTCAAGTAACCTATACATGCAGTTATATGAAATTTAGTTTACATAACATTATTTATTTCATTATACAAATATGATTTTATTTATTACATTATTTTGTTTGGATAATATTAATTTGATTACATAACATTATACAAATAGATTTTATTTATTACATTATTTTGATTTTATTATTTGTTTGGATAATATTAATTTGATGAATGGAAAACCTTTCTCTATTAGGATATGACAAATATATTTTTATTTCTTTTAACTGTAATATATTAATTTTTTTTAATTCCTTTATCTAAAAGCATCCAACTTTATATAATAAAAAATTTTGATGAATGGAAACCTTTTTCTGTTTGGATATGGCAAATATTATTTTTTCCTTTTTGATATAATAGATTAAATTAAATTTCGTTTTTTTTAATTAACATTTATCTGGAATTTTTTTTAAGTTCTCCTAAGACACGTGTCACGATCTTAACGGACATAAACTTAAAAGTGACACATGTCGATCCTGAATTTTATAAAAATCCTACGTGTCGCAACCACGTCGTGCGCATCCAGCTTTATATAATAAGATTTGACTTACTTTTATCAATTTAAGAATCCATATGGGATTTAAGAAAACGCAAAAACATATATACAATTCAAATATACATAATGTGTTAGATGTATGATCCGTTCTTCCGTTTTGAGAATATGCTTATTCACATCCAAGCCAATACGCCAATATCTAACGGCTATTGAGAATTAGACTAGTACAACCTAATTACACTTTTTTTTCACAAAAAAACACTTGTAAGGGTTTTGGCTATATAAACTGAAAAAAAACTAAACAAAAAAAAAGTGTAATGGTTAGAGAGGGTGCGAAGTGTATGGGATTATTCATTGGAACATGCTCGTGAAATTTTGAAGCGTAGTTACCGCCACGTCATCTAACGTGGGCCCGAGTTCATAAAATTGTTGTCATTGACATGTCAGCATAACCAAAGATGACGCTAGCGCGTCAACGCTAAATGACAAAAACATCCTTTGTGTTGCTTCTGATCCGGTTACGTTCACCAAATTTCCCTTGAATTGGATTTTGAGAAATTCGAATCATGTTTGGTTCAATTAGGAATTTGTTCGGAAGCAATATACATCACGTGAATACTTGCAGTGAGAAATTTTATCAATCCACAAATTTGGACCGGATTCGGTTCGTTCACACGCTCGGTTTAGTTTCGTTTTTGTTTCAATATAATTTTTTAGTATTTTAAACGAAAAGAAAAAGAAGGTTCTTAAGTATGCGCGCGGACCAACCATCATGTCGGCACGATATCATACGGATCCTTAATATGAGCCGTTGGATTACCAAGAAAGTTGGAATCATGTGCTCTTTTATGACTTTTATTTTCAGGTTTTTATTTTTCTTTAGTTTAAAAGGAGACGACGACTTTTTTCAAATAGTCCATACATGCCACTATGCCAGAGAAGACAGAACTAAACGCATTATTTTTTTTGGTCGTGGAACTAAACGCATTATAAAATCATAGTGTCGTTGGATTTAAGATTATATAATGACTAGTTTACTCTTAGTTCGAATCTAATCAAGATCATCAAACCGATGTCCAACGTACACCAACTGTTTCTTGATTCGTAACAGAAACTAACAAAACATACATCAAATCAAAATTATTAAAACTTGAAGAAAACTAAACTGATGAACGTCAAATTGTTTTGTTAGAAGGAAAAACCGTTAAAATTGTTTTCATAATATTTGTTTCCTCGATAATCCTACGTATGATATTAACTTGAACTTCGCTTTGATTTCAACCTAAACCATTGAAGAGAACCGAGCCATATCAAATCAAACTACTGAAATCTGTGTCTGTTCTATCAAACTCTTTCTAGACCAAACCGAGTAATTAAGCAGAATACCTACCTCTACAATTCTAATAATAAAATCAGAGTGCTTTTTGAATTTATATGAATTGGAAAAAGAGCGTTGCCAAAAAAAAAAAAAAAAAAAAA